GTGGGGTTAAGTGTCTTGCCCAAGGACACAACGACAGCAGTCATCAGTGGGAGTCGGTGGAGAAGGTGCAGAGGTGGGAATTGAACCCACGACCTTCTGGGCTTAAGGCCAATGCTCTACCAACTGAGCTACTGTCGCCCCCTTTCTTCTCATTCTTGTCCTGTTTTACCAAATCCATCAGATGGCGTTGCAGCCTACCATCCCTCACATGTTCCATAAACTGGTCCCTAAGCATGGTTTGCTGATTAGGAACCAGGATCAGGATTGCTGTCAAGGACACAGTACATCAAAGTCATTAAAACATGTGAGAATTGCCTGAGTTCATCCAGAGTGATCATGGGCCTCTTGGCTGCATCTCTGATCAGTCTTTTCCTTGTTTGAGATGAAAGTTTGGAGGGACGGCCGGGTCTTGGTAGATTTGCAGTGGTCTGATACTCCTTCCATTTCAATATAATTGCTTGCACAGTGCTCCTTGAGATGTTTAAAGCTTGGGATATCTTTTTGTATCCAAATCCGGCTTTAAACTTCTCCACAACAGTATCTCGGACCTGCCTGGTGTGTTCCTTTGTCTTCATGGTTCTCTCTGCGCTTTAAACAGAACCCTGAGACTATCAAAGAGCAGGTGCATTTGTACGGAGACTTGATTACACACAGGTGCATTCTATTTATCATCATCAGTCATTTAGGACAACATTGGATCATTCAAAGATCCTCACTGAACTTCTGGAGTAAGTTTGCTGCACTGAAAGTAAAGGGGCCGAATAATATTGCACGCCCCACTTTTCAGTTTTTTATTTGTTAAAAAAGTTTAAATTATCCAATAAATTTCGTTCCACTTCACGATTGTGTCCCACTTGTTGTTGATTCATGACAAAAAATTAAAATTTTATATCTTTATGTTTGAAGCCTGAAATGTGGCAAAAGGTTGAAGGGGGCCGAATACTTTCGCAAGGCACTGTATGTTGTGGAATGTTGAGCGTCCTGGATCATCTCCAGTCCTTTTTGTGAAAACCCACTGTCGATCTAACGGACCATTCTGCATTTGCAAGAAAAAACTCTAAAACCCAGCCAGAAAAAAGTGAGAAACCTCAGGGAGAACAACATTAAGAGAGAAATCTGTTCCCACAGACGGACTGGATCCAGGACTCAAGCTACGAAAACAAGGACCAAGGCCACACAGCGCAGGACTCAGGTTGTAGAACGAGGACAGGCGAGGTGCAGGACTGAAGCAGCTCCAAGGCCGGGAGGGAGTGCAGCCCACGAGTCAGGTTGGACAGGGCAGTCTGCAGGTAAGTAAGTAATCTTTATTTATATACCGCCTTTCACAGACCAGAGTCACAAAGCAGTTTACAATTGTTATTTTTGGGCATTTGTCTCTCACTCCACACAGAGATGGGAGCGGGGTCGCCAGTACAGGAGGCGCACGCCAGACCTATTGTACATGTTTTTAGTGGTAGGGGAAACCGGAGTACCTGGAGGAAACCTACACAGACACGGAGAGAACATGCAAACTCCACTCAGAAAGCCCCTGGGATTCAAACCCAGGACCTTCTGGCTGAGAGGCAAGAGTGCTATCCACTCAGCCACCGTGGCAGATGCTGCAGAGTAGGCTTGCGTCACGCGGCACACATACACACTGGCAGAGGCGTGGTGGCCAGGCGCTCGTCCGTCACATAACACAACGCATGTTTTGCAAAGACAAAAACATACTCCTGACTGCTGCTGCTGTATATTAGTTCTTTGGCCTGAGATACAGCAGCAGCAGACAACACAGGGACAGCAACAGCTGCGGCACAATGCAACAGTTTGCGTTATGTGATTTACGCCATTAAAATAGTTCCGCAACTAACAGCACTAATATATACCTTGGGGAACCATATGAGGCATCGTGAATGAACTCAGACTCAGGTCAGTCAGTTAAAGTGGCTTTTATTTTGTTGAAAACATTGATTCCAGGCTGAGTGATGCCATTGTGATGTAATCTTTACCACAGTTGGGACATATACATTGTTAATACTTTAGTTGTAGTTAAAAACAGCACTATAGAAAAACCATAGCAGCTCCGTTCTGTTTGACTCAAGCCGTACACTTTACACATAAGGTGATTGGAAGATTGTTTGGTTTCATGCAGGGAAATGTTTACTCAAAATTGTTAAACCTCAGAACTTCCTTTGTTAATCTGTAAATAGTCACAGCTGGCATTTTACCAATTTTTGTTCTAGGAGGCCAAATCTAGGAGGCCAAATTCATAAAACATAAATACATGATGAATTTTTAAAGAAAAGTACATGCCTATACATTCTTCAAAAAACAGCTGATTATATGGATAATTTTTTTTTGTTCAAAGTGTGAAACGTAATGATAGCAATTTACTAGAATAAGTTAAACATTTCCGGCAAAATGACTGTGGTTGGAAAATATAACATGAGCCCATTTCCAGACCAGAAAATTTGCATATTTCTTTTTTGAACCCATTATGCAAAGCGCTTCCTCTGCTTCCAACCAATAGCGCTATTACTTGCAAGACAAATGATATAAACAATGTGGTCTTCCAAACATTAGAAAGGAAAGACGTATAGTAGCATTTCATAAAAGACCAGAATAAAGAGCTGCTAACTGGAAACTACATCACCCAGAATGCATCTGTATGAATCAGGCAGTGATTAATCAGCTTGTGCTTGTGTTTAAATTTGAGGTTATTTTGACAGCTTACACTGTATTTTTTACTTAAAAATACTTAAATGTATTTCTTAAATAATTGAAAAATATTTGCAGGGAATGTTTTAATTTGATTTAATTTCATCATTTAATTTAATAATTTTTAATTAGCCAGAAGTGTTAAATAAAATAAAATAAAACAATTTTGTGCGTCTTCATTCAAACAGCTCAAACACACACTTTGAGATATTTTGTGTGACAAATGTTTTCACTGCAAGCCCACCTGCAGTTTTGATGGTTCTGTGTCAAAGTTACTTTATTTATAATTATTTTGTAAACATGTGCAATGACCTAGCTGTCAGACATTCTGCCAAGTCCAGTTAAACAAGCGGTTTAACTGGTTAAGGTGGGTAAAACTATCACTTTAAGTCAGTAGGGAATATGAAAATGTAAATGTCCCTCAATGTAATCGTAAACAATGGAATGTATGAGAATAAGGGTAACCCATATATGTTAACATCCGCTGACTTAATAATGAATTATGATTACTGTATGTTTATATGATGTTTGAGATGGTAGAACATCATTTTTTATCATGCAGTCCCACTTTTGTAGAAAAAAATACATTAAACTTAAAAACAATTTTTGTTTTTGTAGTGTCTGCAACTACTTCAAATCCAGCTGTAAAACTCTGGAAACTTGATATGGACCATTATGGATTTAATCAGAAATTGAGATTATAATGCTAGCAATTCTACCCTGTAGTTTTAATTATCATCAATGCGAAATATTTATTATATATATTCAAATTTATTTTGAATTGTATTTTCTAAACTTTTGTTAATTTTTACTTTAGAGTTGATTATATACAAAAATCAATCAAAGCATTAAAAATCATTCAGAGGTCATCCAGACAACTGAGGATCCATTCATCTTTACTAAGTGTAGATTTTACATTTGAATCAATTATATTACATTTTATAGGGTATGATACAATTTAATAATACAGTTTAGCAACTGAAAAAATAGTCAATTTCTCATCACGATTAGAAAATGTAGCATAGCAAAACACCATGTAATCCTCAAAATTGTGAAATTTCAAATTTAATGAAACAATAAGTCTTCCATTATTTTTACTTTTCCAGCCTTTTGCTCCGATGGCAGAAAACAAAACAAAAACACATGCAAACTCTCATATGTTGTCACAGTATCATATCATACTAGCAAGCTTTATTTGCTTCCGGTTCCCGATTCTTCCCTTGTGTCCACTTGAGTCCATATTACAAGAGCTACGAAAGGGAGAGAGTGGTTGTGTGGAGGCAGTATGAGACAAAACTAGGCAAATACGATTAATAATCAGTTTTTTGGCACAAGTGATTTCAAAAACATCTACTCCAAACGTCTCTTGAGTATTCCATACAAAACACGGAGATTCAAGTTATATTACCTTTTGGGGATTAAGCAAATGCGTGTGCCTGTGTGTGCACAGTCTACTCTAAGCACGGCTTCGTCCCCCTTACGCTTCTACAGTTATTCAGCTCACATGTTACTTTATTATTCATAAGTGACGGCCACAATGGAGAGACGCGACAGTACCAGTAAGGACCCAAGCTTTTCTAATGATCAATGCACACAGGTCTATTTACACAAGAGCTATCTACAAGTGGGGCTGCGGCAGTGGGCTTCAAAGACTGGGCCGCTGTGGTGGGTAAAGGGCAAGGTTGGAAATGTGATTTTTTTCATATTAATTTATTTAATTTCAAAATTAAAAATAAAAAAATCACTTCCAAATCAAATATAATACAAATTAAATAATACAATTACAATTAAATAATAGATTATATCAAATTAAATAAAACAAAACATATCATAAAACTGGTACTCTCGACTCGTAACATTTGAAAATAAGGCTTTTTAATTATCATTCTTTAACTTAGGAAAAAAAAGGAAAGAAAAACCATTTGCACATTTTTAATCAAGCTAAAATGACAATCATGTACCTATAATGAGAATACCCATCTAGAACAAATATTAAACATTTCAATACCTTGTTGGCGTAAGCCTTTAACTTCCACTGCTGGCTACAGTGGTGAGTAAACCCACTGGAGATATTAAAATCAGCACCATGGTTTAACAAAAATTAAATGAAAAGGAGAAGAGGAAAAATCACTCCAACTTTCCAACCCCACCTCCAAACCCAACGACCCATATCGCATATGCTAAAAAACCCACATTTGTTGTAACTGGGTGTGGAGAGTCCAGAACAGATGCACAGGTGTCACAGGTGTGACTGCTTGGGTCACAGAGGAGGAAAGGGGGAGTATGCAGGGCCTCGGCTGGCCTCAGTGCACCGATGACTGGGGCCGGATGCTGGGGTGGGGCCGGCTCGAGACGTCCAGCTGCTCATTGGGTACAGAGCGGCGGTTCTGCTCGGGCCGGTTGGTGGCCATGTATTTGGCCCTCATGCTGGACGTGTACTGGAGACAGAGAGCAGGGTCAGTTAGTGAACAGAGAGGCCTTCAGATGTGTAAGCAATGGCAGGTTTGAATATCAACGTTTGAAGACGGTTTTTTACTACGCAATAAGACAGGACCAAAATTAGACTAACATTCACGATGCCACGTTCCAAATAGAACAGTTACATTACCTTCTGGTAAAAAAACCCCCAAAAAAAAAATCCCTCTCATACTAATGCACCTTGAAGTGTGTTTAGCTTCATTGCCGCTAAGGCCTCCATCAGGAGCAGTGGTCACCACAGTGTTCGCCGGGGACAATTTCCAGATATTGATGCTCGGCTTGGTCCGACTGGAGCTGGAGGATTTTGCCTATGGTACATAGTACTTATTGTACGTATTATATTCTATGTTTTTAGTGGTAGGGGAAACCGGAGTCCCCGGAGGAAACCTATGCAGCTGTGAGTTTGGGCAGATAGCAGAGTCTTGGTACATTGTCAGTTTAGCCACACTCTGTGGATAATGAATTGAACAGTTCTATGTGTGAAAGCTAAGCTAACCTAAGCATACTTAAAACTACTGCACAACTTTGTCCCTGGTGTGCTTTTTTGGCTTCACAATGCTGTTTGGTAACCATAACACTTCAGCCATAGCGCTGAAGTACTCAGAGAAAAGCTGTATATGTGCAGGGAATAGATTACATACAGGTAGCCAACCCATATCTATTTAAGCAAGGTGTGAACATTCAGAATTCATTAGGCTTGTTTTAAAGACAATTGAATGCACTCCGGAAAATGCTGTATGAATGCTTGTGCACGCCCCACTTTTCATTTTGCTTTCACTTTACAGTTGTCTGTTACTTGTTTGTAGACTTTCAGTAAAAAACCTGAATAAAATCTTATGTTTATAGGTGTAAACATGATCAAATGTAAAAAAAATAAAAAATAAAATTGCACACAGTTCAAGGTATATTAGCACTATCGAAAAGCACGGTTTTTTCTGTCCCACAATTTGTGTCGTGAAATGTGTAAAAGGTCCTGGTGTTTTATCATGATGTAGTAAAAAATCTGTATTTTTTGTATGAACCGGCAATGGTCTACATGCATAGATTAGGTCCCGTTGATATCAAACTTGCTTGTGCTTGCTATATATTTCAGCAAGAGATGGCACACACACACACGCACACCCACACACAGGCGGTTAAGTCATTTGGACAGCCGGGTCTGACTAACGTTAGCTCATTTTTGGATTACATGTTAGTGCTCTAGTTCTGATGTTAGCCCATAAGTAAGTCAACGCACACAGACCAACATTTCCTTTGGTTCCAAATGGTTAAAGTTGTGCGTGTTCCATCTTCCACAGACAGGGGCACTCCTAACAGTATGATGTGAGGGTGAAAACAGAGAACACACACCAGCTAACATACACAGACAGTGAAGACAGTGGGGGAGGGGAGAGGCGAGGGGCCGGGCTCAGCGGGCGGAGAATAGGGTACATCAGAAATAGAGCGTTGGGAAGGCGTCTGTGCCGGGCTGCCAAAATGACCTCCAGCACACAGGGGGGTACAGGAGGGTCCTGGAGACACCCACATGAGTTTTACTGTGTGTGAGCCATGTGGATGGAACATCATGAGTTTCATTAGAAAACAGTTCAAACAGGGTGTTTACATACACTGTACAAATATATGTTTTGGTTTGTCTCACTGATTGAAGTAAAAAATAATATATATATTTTTTGCACCCAAGTAGAAATTTGAATTATTTTGCACTATTTTGGAGATTATGAACAATAGCACAAAAACTGTCTTGTGTGAAGTAAAAAATGTTCAACATCGCTGACAGGTTGGAGTCTTTTGTGGTAGTCGTGGATGACTTTCTTTACAGCACTGCACCATAGAAAAAGGGCATCATGAAGAAGATGTTGCAAAAATGTATGGTGGAAATGCGTCTTTCAAATGGACAATGACTCCATGCATCAGGCGAAATTACAAAGGGGTTTAATAATGTAGTTATTGATCTGGAGTGGCCATCGCAAAGCCTTGACTGCAACCCCAGAGACTTGTGAGAGCAAGGCAACATACAACCCTGATGCACTTAGTTTAAACTTGGAAGAACGGGCCAGAATTTCCAACAAAGTACTAATGAAATGCATGTACATGTCGGACTTTGTAGAAATTAATCCAAATGTTCATCTCACTATTGTAACATTGAGCAAATAGAAATAATGTTGGTCAATGTACATAATATATGTAATGTAACAATATGTAACTTCAGACAGTGAGGAAAACATTATACAGTGTCTGTAAACTTGTGGTTGCAAAGTTTATATAAAAGTTTGAAATTCATGAGTAAATACATAAACTGATACAATATTATTAGATGAAACAAATGATCTTCCATACAGAGAGCTGTGAACAGAATTGGCTCGAGTGTCTTTGTGAGTGTCACACAATAGAGTACTGTGATTACTGTGTAATTACTGCTGTAAAGGCACATGCAAGCCTGTTCGTGTGATTCAGAGCCAGAGTGTGCGTCTTTGTGTATGTTTATGTGTGTATGCATATGTGCGTGAGATGCATGCAGGTGCCTGTCTGTGTGAGCCGCATGTGTGTACATGTGTGTGCTGCATGTGTGTACGTGCGTGACCCTCATATGTGTGTGTGTGTGAGCCACACACACACGCGCAAGATTTGCAGCTCACATACATGTGTGAGCTGCATATCTGTGCCTCTGCATGTGAGCCGCATGTGTGTATATGTGAGCCACGTGTCTGTGCTTTGCACCTGCACGTCTTTGAGTGTCTGCTAATGTGTGTGTAAGCTGCATGTGTCTGTGTGTGAGCCACATGTGTGTGTGTGTCTGCACGTGAGCTGTGTGTGTGTGTATGAGTGAGCTACGTGTGTGTGTATGTTTGAGCTGTATTTGTGCATGAGTTGTGTGTGTGAGTGAGCCGCATGTGGGTGCGAGCGGACCGTCACTTCCAGAGTGCACTTACAGAGGGTGGAGGGGACTCCCTGCCAATCAAGGGGGTGTTCTCACACCGAGGGTTCTGAAAGTTAGCGTTCTGGCTCCTGCGTGTTAGAATCAGAGGTTACTATGTTTGCATGAGGCTGCGGTGCTGCCTTGTGCACAAGCCTACACTGCACAACCCTAGACAAGTTTGCACAACTCTACACACGCGACTTACACTGTTCTACCCTTACTCGCTTCACATCTGTTTGAGTCGGCATGTGAACATGACATCAGTCATGTTGTCCTATTATTTTATTATTATTTTATTAAACTATTATCTAGTTCTGACACTAGTTTAATAGTTCATTAAAATGTGTGAAAATGATCAAATTCAAATACATTTATTATGGATACACCAATACAGATAATAGTGTCTGTACCAATACCGGGTCTAGTACTCGTGCTCGTTCATGCGGCCCCTGACGAGTTAGCCGCTGTACCCCCACAAAGCCTAATTCAGACATATTCAAATAACCTAAATCAAACTGAACAGCTCTCAATTCTTAACAACAACAACTGATTACATTAATGTGCTTGTGTATCCTGCTAACGCCAAGAAACAAGTATCTGTCAAATTAAGAATATGCCCGCATTGCTGCTTTGGAGAATTGAGAAACTAATCCAACTGTATAGAGCATGTTAAGAACTTTGCAAAGAGGTATGGCATGTGCAGCATAATCAAGAATAGGTATCGGCTGTCTTTTCACCAAGTAATGCTTGGTGGTATTAGTGCTGTCTGTTCCTTCCTCACATAGCAAACTAAAGGATTTGTTTGTGTAAGCTCTCAGTCGTACAGGGATTAGTCAAAGCAAAGGAAGGTTTCTCACCCATCTTACTTCTTAGCAGGTTTAACCAATGTTTCAACCTTAATCCAAATAACCTTTTCATCCATCCATCCATCCATCCATTTTCTACCCTTTAATCCATTTCTGGGTCAGGGGGGTGGCAATCAGAGATGCCACCCAAGTCTCATAGCACCAGCCCCTCACTGACCCTCTGCAGGTGGTGAGTCCACAGGACGGTTACTCTCTGAGTGTGAACATAGCCTTGATCTTTCAGTGGGGGCTTTGGGGCAAAGTGGGGTTAAGGACACAACGACAGCAGTCATCAGTGGGAGTCGGTGGAGAAGGTGTAGAGGTGGGAATTGAACCCACAACCTTCAGGCCTGAAGGCCAATGCTCTACCAACTGAGCTACCGTCGCCCCTTTTTCATAGGAATGAAATCTTGTTAGCCGCACCCTAATCCTGAGGATAACTCATAAACACATCTAAGAGAGTGTGTTAACGGTCGCAAGTCATCAGCAAGTCACAGACCTATTGTCTACTGAGATTGCTCGAGTGGATTGCAGGTCTCACCACTCCTAGTGACGTGCTAATGAGTTAGGACCGTTAGCCCTAGCAGGGTTATTAGACCTGCTCCCTACCACATCTTTACACACTCTCTTTAATGTGTTTATAAATTACCCTCAGGATTAGGGTGTGGCTAACCACACCCATAGGTCATAAATCTCCAACGCGCGGTCTAAGATTTAATTCCCTTGAAAAGGTTCTCTGGATTAAGGACGAAACGTCGGGAAAACCTGCTAAGAAGTACAGATGATGGATGAGATACAGGACTGTTGACCAAATTCAAACCAATGGAAGAGGGCATTTAAAATGGGTTCTAAAATTGGTATAGCAAGTCTGGTGTTTGCATTCAGTACCGGCAAGTACTAAATATAAAGTGCTCATGATGGTATTGGTTTCGAAAAAAGACATTTAGCATTCTAGAAAAGCAGTTATCTGACGCTTTCAATGTTTTACTGTTATATCTCTACTCATTCCACCATTTCCCTTTTTTTTTTTTTTTACTTAGTGGTTGCTACGCCTACATCTGCTGCTTGTGTCCAACTTCACCATCAAGATTTTGAGTCAAATCTAATATTTATCTATCCAATCTACAATTTAGTTAAATGGGTCTGTAGTAACCGGCCATTATTGTCACAAAAAACAAGCCATTTTCAAATGTAAAAAAGCCGATGGCATAGTAACTCTAGTGAGCCTATAATATATAACTTGATTGGTTTTCCACAAATTACACACTTGTACTGTACTCAATTATGCTCTCTTACTATCGGTACTCAAAAATAAAATTAATAATACAAATTTTACTTGGTGAGCCTTTAATAGTTGTCATCTGTAACATTCACAATTGTTCTGAATAGTTATTTAATCATCATAACGTTTTGAATTGTACTGTGCGTTTTGTCAAATAATGTTATTGTCCATTCAAACTCAAACTGTAAAACTGTGTACGGAACGAAACAATTTGTGAAACTATAGGCTCTTTGAAATTTGTTGATGTCACATTGACACAACCTGACACCAGCCAATAATGTAATAAATTATCAGGCTTTAGTATCTGCCTTTGAACAACCCTAGCCTCGCCTGTGGAGCTAAACCCTGCTTGTATATAGTGAGTGCATGAGCAGGCAGTACGTGGCTGACACTGACCCTGGCCCTGACCCTCCGAGCTCCACATAACTCACATGTACTCTGTGACGGGGGCATTGCTGACAGTGTGGGCCGTGGCAGGCAGACTAGCCTCACTACCGTAGCTGGAGCCGCAGCTGTAGAGGCTGGGCATGTGAACACGGTACAGGTTATCGTGTACTCCGTCGGCGCGCGCGGCACCCTCCTCCTCCCCGTCGTCCTCCGATCTTCAGTGGTGCCAGCAAGGGGAGACACAGGTTTAGTACGAAAGGGCCAAATATATATCAATACCTTATACAGGACCCAATGACCCATAGAAGGCGATGCCGAACAGTTCTCTGTTCCTGAATGGTCCGATATGGGTGTTTTTGCAATTTATTCTCCAGTCTGTGTGTGTTCTTGGAGTAAAATTAAATAAAAAAAATTGCCTTTTTCAAATGTATGTAATTTTATATAAGGACCAGAAAGACAATTTCTAATATATTCCACCTGCCTCTCCTGAATTCCTTCTTGGTGGAATATGCCTTGGTGGGACCCAAGGCATATACTTCAAGTGAAAGCCACCTTTTGTCTTATTTATTTATTTTATTTATTTAGAAAGGGACAATGTACAATTGAACATAAATCTTTCCATTTGATGCATTGTACCGGAGTTAGCCTTAGGCTAATTTGCATCCGTGGTCCCCCGGCAGGGAAGAACACTCCACGTACAGGTGGGTATAATTGCACAAGCATACATACAATAAAATACACATTTGTATACAGTCAGCAGACACACACAGGGGAAACACACAGTCACAGACGTATTCCCACACACATGCACACATTCACACACAGGTGGCGTCAGTACCTTTGGACCTATAGAGAGTGATCACATCGTTGCTCACTCCTTAAGTGTCTTTTCCGTTCCATCTTAATGCCTTCCAGAGTAACACACGGCTTAATACAATTAGGAAGAGCATTCCACTGCGTGGAGGCCTTCACAGAGAAGGCGGAGAGACCAAAGGCAGAACGATGGAAGGGAATAGTACAATCGCGCACAAAGACTATTCTCGTGGATCTAATTGAGTATCTTGCTCTATAGTTCACAAATGATCTTAAACAGTCAGGAGCCAGGCCATTTAGAACTTTGAATACGAGACACAGGTCAGAAAAGCATCTGAAGTTTTCAAAACTCAAAAAAATATTATATTTTAAGATGTTGATGATGAATTTTTAAGGCCTGTTAATACACTTACTCTAGGGGTCTCACTACTGATTCCCCGGCCTGCCCCCAACAAATGATACAGTAAGAGAAATGCGTGAAAATAAGCGCATGCATAATTGTTCTAGCTGCCTCAAGGAAGAAACAGGGTCTAATATGTCTGAAACTTGTCATGTTTTTAACATGTTTTTTGAAATTCAAGTTAGAATCTAAAGTAACCCCGAGATATTTGTATTCAGCAACCTTTTCAATCTTTTCGTTCATAAAATAAATGTCAGAGTTTGTACTATGTGCTTTGGTTTTTCAAAAAAACATGGCCTTTGTTTTACTAATGTTAAGGCAAAAACAGGATTGATCGAGCCATTGAGCCATAGCCTCTAGGGCTCTGGAGACTTTCTCAGCCGCTAGGTGACTGGTGCTGGTGAGTTGATGAGTATATCATCAGCGTAAAGTTGAATTTGGAGGCCCAGGCAGTGATGTGGCAGATCGTTAATATAAGGCTGAAAAGTAAGCCAAGTACAGACCCTTGGGGTACTCCCATGGTAGATTTTAGATAACCTGAGCAGCCATCCTTTACCCTAACACACTGTGTCCTATTTGATAAGTATGACCGTATCCATTTTAGCATTTTGACTGTGTATCTGTCAATAATTACATTAAGTTTAGACATGAAAGACTGTGAGGCAGAGTCCAGATTTTTGGCCCATTAGTTAGAACTGCGGAGATAGGCGTGACTACGTCCGTATATGTGATGCGATCTGGGAAAACCCGTCGGATGTCACGCTGGCACGTTCCGAGTAAATAGTAAAAATAGGACGATTGTCATTTTTTTGGCAAAATTGTGTTTTCATGAAATAATTATTATATAACATCTTGTCTTTAATTTCTGAAAATATCTAGGTGAAATTCACTGGTTTTATACATAAAAAATTGTGATATGTTTTGACGTTACATCCTCCGCTCTGACCCCGGGAGCAACTGCGGCCGCTTTGTGACAGCCGCTTTGACAGCTCAGTGGACGCACTGCCGTGACGTGGCTCCGAGCGTGGACCATAGACATGCGGACAGGATCATAGACAGGATCACAGACACAAGAACAGGACCATAGACAGGACCATAGACAAGCAAACAGGACCAGACACACGCGGACAGAACCCATAGACACGCGGATCATAGACACGCGAGACACGCGGATCATAGATACTTGGACAGGACCATAGACACGCGGGCCATAGACACTCGGACAGGACCATAGACAAGAACCATACGCGGACAGAACCATTGACACGCGTTCAGACAATCCCCAGCTTGTTGCAAGTCCAGGTCTCCCCCGTGTCTCCTACTGTATGCGCAACCAAAACTCACAAAATTAAAGCTCGGGTACCTAATTTTCTCCTTGCATTAAAAATGCTTGGTGGTTGTGGGTGGATATTTATTCTTGATTTTATAGAAGAATACTGGCATTGTCTAATACATATAAAATGTTCAGACACAAAAAAGAAGAGGAAAAGTTACATAAAACACATTCAATTCATTGAATGTTGAAAGAATAAATACATTCTTGATTTTCATCTAATTATTGAGTGTTGTGTGTTTAATTGATGCCAAAGTAACATTTTTTATCTTTTACAATATAGTGACTAAAATAGGTGTGTGCCACAACATAGTAATTCAAATTACATGTGATCGTGGTGATTCTATTTAGAATGTCTATCTGTAAACCTGTTTTTCTCAGACTTCCGTTTCATAAAACCATGTTTAAAAGCTGACTTCAGATAAGGATAACTTTTGTTACACACAGGCTATGATAAAAAGGAAAACAGGTTTGAAAAGAGATTGAAAACAGCTTTAAGATGGTATTAGAATATTGAGTTGGTCAAATTTCACCATGTGATGGATTTTCCCAGATCGCATCCAGTGGGGGCGGGTCCCGGCTCAAAAGTGGCCAAAATGACGTGCGCTGACATGCTTGCAATACCACCCGGGGCCGATGAGGGTGGACCCGGAATAAGAATTAGCCAATGTTAACATATAGCATTAGCTGACCTCTCAAAAACACCTTTACAGGATGGTCCAAAAGCTGGCTCTTGGCCCAAAGCTTGGTTCCACATGTGTGTCAATGCTGAGGGGAGGGAATTCAGTCTACTCAGTCTGAATTCAGTCTACTCAGTCTAGTTTACTTGCTGTGAATTTTTTATGTCACTCGTTTAAATGAATGGGGCTTGTGCCGGCTGACGCATCTATGATCGCATCACATATACAGTCTATGATTCCATGTTCAGGTTACAGAGGTCACATATGATGGAGTCTTTGACATACAGCAAGACCCCGCCCCCTTTGCCTGCAGGTCTATCTCGCTGACAGCATTGATATCCCGGAATTGTGAAAATCACCTCCGGGGTGGTTTGCTGCATCCACGTTTCCGAAATGCAACAAAAATCTAGATTTGAACTTGATCACATATATTTTAGTTGATCCGCTTCAGAGACCAAGCTCTTAATGTTTAAGCTGCCGCCAAAAAGTTCTTTCGTTTGAGTTTACAATCCCAAATAACTCGTGCATGATTGACAGTCTGGAACATGCGGCAGGATCTGTGCGTTTAGCTTCACGAAACAGCCGAGAGGACTGTATGCCTGGGGAGTGCTGAGCTGATTGCTGTTTGGAGGCGCACGTGGGACTTGAAGCAAGATGTTAAATAGTCTCTCGCCTCCATGGATGTAGACTTATTGCCGTGTGGAGGAATCAGTGATGAAGTCAGCGTTACTGGTCCTGGATTTAGATGGATATCCCCTGACAACAGCAACAAGATCAACAGACCCCATGTCTTTCTGGATAACGAGGTAAATTTCCACTCCTCGGCGCTTGTCTGTTTACGTGCGCTTATAGGTGTTGCGTAGCCACCATGCAAAACAGAAGAGTAGATTGCAAAGAGACTGAAGACGTTGAGATCCCTATAGGTAGGTGGTGTATGCTGGTCTTTTCCTTTAGCCCGTATCCACCTGAACAGGTGGACACACAGTGGTATCTCAGCTGCTACCAGTAGCATAAAGATGAAACGTCCACTATCTCAAGACATCCATTTGTCGCACTTACAGGGGATCAGACCCTTAGGTCAAGATTCTGGTACAACCTGGTTCATGTTTCGGAAAGATGCGCGGTTTTCATGATGTTTGAGAAAATGTGGACAAGCAGTCCACGCCGCCATCTTCCATATGCAATTCGTCCAACAGAAAGTCTTGCCAATGTGAAATGTTGTGAACATATCAGACCACAACTTTCGGCATATTGTGATCTAGTTAAGGTTGTCCAAAATATAACATTAGACAACATGCTATGTTTTGCTTACTTTAAAGAAAGAGCCTTGTTAGTCACTATTTGACTCTTTCGGTAGAGATCTAAAAATGTGAGGCCAAAAATACAAGTGAAAACTAGATAGAATGCAACTGTTTCTGAGTTAGGAACTACTGACATAAAAAGTTACATTCTTGTGGTTTGAAAGTTTGGTGAAACACATAGTGTAATAGCACTTTGAAGAGGGCTGGAACAAATTGACTGAACATTATTCAGTACATTTAATTGATTATTGAAAATATTAGACTAAGGCCCTGTCCACACGAAGTCAAGCTCAGGCCTAAACGCAAAAATACTTTATCAATCCAGTGTATCGTCCATACGAGGCCGACGTTTTGGGGAGGTGTAAACGAACATTTTTGAAAGTAGGTCCCAGAGTGGAAAGATTTCAAAACTCCGTATATGCCGCTCCGTGGTTACTGCCTCTTCGCAATGTATCTGAGACGCTTGCGTCATCGCCCCGCCTCTTGTTAAAGCACGCATGCGCCGCAAAATAATGACAACAACAATGTAGCTTGTTGGTTTTGTAATCCAGTGCGACCCGAAGCAACAGTTCAACCTCATCGTCCGTCCATACTAATGTAGTACCAGCTCGCCCACTCGCCATGTTGTCTGTTTACAAAATTCTGCGCATGCCCAGTTCCCGTCACGGAAGTTTGGGCTTGATCCCGT